CCCCACCGGCCTCTAGTGTGTTCCAAACTCATTTTAACACAGCAATGTCACATCCAAAAAACTTAAGGCTTCAGAGACATGTTTGAATTCTAACCCTAAGTATTTGCACCCTCCTCTTTCTCTTCATGGCACCTAGTTTAAGACACTTGACACACCCATGACTGGGCCTACCCTGATAATACAGGATAATCTCCCTATTTCAAGGTTCACAACCTTAATCACATCTGCAAAATGCCTTTTGCCATGAAAGGTTCCAGGGACTGGTATATGGACAGCTTTGGAAGACAATATTCAGCCTACCACAATCCCCCACATTGGTTTTCTCATATTTCTCCTTGATGATACTGTTTCAGGTGTGGTGTCAGCTCTAATGAGCATGGTGGCTTCCTTGAAGTTTGCTGACAGGGAGGACCGGACCATGAACCCTGCACTGCCAGCTTGCTGCCAGCATGCAGACCATCACTGGTTACAGTGAAAACGAACTGGCAGGATGCCAGTGGATTCACAGCTCTGGGACAGCAGGGGGAATTCCCTTTGCAGCAACTCCAGCCTTACAGACAGCAAGTTACTCCTACTACCATGCTTGCACCAAATTTATGCCTATTCTCGGAGCCTGCCATCTCTATCAATTTGTCAACCCTCTTCTATTCTACAACAGTCACTTGCTAATTAGGGCTGACCCAATAGTTTTATTGATGTGCTCCAGAGCCTTTAAGAAACCTTTCCCCATAGAGTGCTATTATCTTGAGCTCTAGGTTTTCATACCAGTTGAGGCAACACTGGATACAGCTCTGAAGAGGCCTTTTCCAGTGTAGGACACCTCAGAGTGGGATTTCAAAAGCCAAAGATCTCTCTGACAAAGAGCCTGAGAATAGGCACAGTGAATCCTCATATTTCTTGTCATGCAAAAACAGAGGCATAGGAAAGGGTTCTGCAGAAGTCAACTAAGTGTTAGCTCCACAAGCTCACTGGCCTCTCCTTTATCTCCCTGAGTTCTTGGTCTACTCAGCTTCTCTTCTGCTACACTGATTTTTAAAGCTCCCTAAATGATTCTGATGTGCAACCAACCAGTTATGGGAACCACTTATGTAGGTTCTAAAGAGAAGTAAACTATTTTGGTTATGAAACATTTCAATCAAAAAGATACATTTTCTTTTTATTAGCCATGAAGTAAAGCATCTTTCAAGTTAAATTACATTATATTATACTTATTACATGATACACAACCACTAAGTCAAGAAAAGACAAATATCATATTTCAATTAATTCGGTAAGGAGACATCAAAAATAAATCATGAAGGCCCTTTTCACCTTCTTCCCTAAGTCCCTAAATTTGTGTTTAAACCTGATATATCTTTTGTAAAACCAAAGGTACAGTTTTTTCTGTATTAGAGCTTTTTAAGATAATGATTATAAATGCAACTAATTTGAAGGAACAGGAAATAAACACTTTCACCTACTTGTTTCTAGCTCATTATCTCCTTTGTCATTAAGATGATAATGTTTGGGTATAAACTGCAGATACAATTTTAACATTTTTCCATAATCTTGAGTTTTTTCAGTTTACATAATCAAAAAATCAATTCCAAATACACCTGTACATATCTTATAAAAATACATTTTAAAACAAGAATGGGAAGAATTCCAAATACTGGGTTAGTATTCCTCTGAAGGTGCGCTGGCATTACAAAGAGGCTTTGATTCCTCTATCTATTCGGATATTCTTCCACATCAGAGGAGAACATCAACTCTGGAAGAGAAATGAATAGATCATACTCAAAATAGTTTCCCAGGACCTCAACAAGTGTCTTTCAGTTTAGTTATAAACAGAACTTTAAAATAGTGACATAATAAACAATAACAGAAAGCCCTCAAGTACAAGTAAGAATTCTTGATAGTGAACTCTGATTTAAAAGGTGAGTTAATGACAAATGTACAAGTTTTGCATTTAAAATGTTTCAAAAAAAATTTTTTTTCAAGTTTTAAATGTATTGTTAACCCCTGAAAATTAAAACATATATAATGGAGATAACAACTCTCACCAGGAAATTTAAGTCACTTGGAAAATCCAGGATCATTAAACAGCTGAAATGACTAATTCTATAGAAATCATGAAAACCTAAAATGTAGGAGACAGATTTACATCTGTCTTAAATGTGTTATCCCATTTAATCACCATTACAGCCCTGTAAATGAAGTATTATCATCCCCACTTTATATTTACTTTTTTTATCCACATGCAAATAAGATGTTATATAATTCACATGGCCCTAAAAGACAGGATTCTGTATTTAGTAACTAAAGCAGTTTGTGATTTAGACTGAATACCGCACAAGCTTGCTAGATGTAGCTTCAATCCCAATTCAGTACAGAAAGTTACTAGTTGACATTTCTACATTAAACTATTAGCATATATACATAATTTATTAAAATATCAAGAAATATTTAAAAAAGAAAACCTTAAGAGTCTAATAAAGTCTTCTAATGTAAGTAGTAGATTAAAAAAAATCTTTTTTTAAATTACTTTACTTAAATTATAACATCTATTTAAAATTCTGGTGGGTTTTTCCCCCCATCATCATTTATCCCCACTATACCGGATTCCACCTACGCCTCTCCCCCACCCCGCAATCACCACACTGTTGTCTGTGTCGACAAGTTCTCTTATTTTTTTCTTTTTTGCTCAATCCCTCCACTGCCCCCACCCCCCCACCAGAGCCATCAGCCTGCCCTCTATCTATGAATCTGTATCTATTTTGCTTGTTAGTTCAGTTTGTTCATTTAATTCCACATATGAGTGAAATCATACGGTACTTGTCTTCCTCTGACTGGCTTATTTCACTTAGCATAATGTTCTCCAGGTTCATTCATGCTGTCTCAAAGTGTAAAACTGTCTTCCTTTTTATGGCCAAGTAGCATTCCACTGTGTAAATGTACCACAGCTATTTTATCCACTCATCTATTGACCTGAATGATTAAAACTATATTGAGTGAAAGAAAATAGCAAAATATATAAACCCTTTGAAAAAATTTTTTAAATACTTTACATATATTGAAAGAAATAAAACAACAGGATATTTAGTAAAGCCACATAAGAATGACAATACAAAAAGGTACATTCATAAATAAAAATCACAAGATTACATTTTTTGTCTTGGTTTTTACAAACAGAAATGTTGGGAAGGTTCTCAATTCTAAGATTTCTGAGACAGTTTGTAATTAGTTGATCAAATTGTAGTTAAGTGCTCAGGAGGTTCAACAATCAAGAGCATAATAATAATCAACATCCAGAAAGTATCACGGAGATTCAAGGGTGAAATTGTGGAACATCTGCCAATGAAATACAACCTGCACTACAAACACCACGCAGTTCCTAAAGCAGTGCTGAAGGACCAGCAGCTTGCTGATACGATTCCTCTCCTTCAGGGGTTCCAACAGGAGTCTGAGAACTAGAGACTGTAAATCTTACTTCACACTGGTCACACTATAGGTAAGATTACAAAACATTTATTAGACAAAAAAGGTTAAGAATTTATTCCATGCAGAAGAAGAGGTAAGAATAATTCACTTTAATATGCATCTGACAGAGGCTACATAGATGAAGCATGTTATTTCAAACTAAGAGATATTTTTATCTTGTGAGGTATATGATTGACCACTGTGCTGTATACCTGCAACTAATACAAAATAATTCTGAAAGTAAACTGTAATAAAAATAAAACAATGCCCAGCCAGGCGTGGCTCAGTGGCTGAGCACTGACCTAGGATCCAGACCATCAGGGTACGATTCCCGGTCAGGGCACATGCCCGGGTTGCGGGCTGCAGCCAATCAATGACTCTCTCATCATTGATGTTTCTGTCTCTCTCTCTCCCCTCTCTGAAATCAATAAAGATATATTTAAAAAAAACAAAAAACAAAAACAGAACATCTGGTGGCAATTTGTAGTTAACACAATATTAAAAATAATAAAAAAATAAAAATAAAACAATAAAGAGATACTTTGATTGGAAGGAGAACAGGAGAAATGAAGAGCAAAGACTTTCTATAAAATACTTGAAGGGTTAAAAAAAAAAACCCACCTCCTACATATGCACCAGGGCCACAGAGGGCCCTCATTTAGTACTCCGAGATTTCAGCTCTCCTAGATGCTCTTCCCTGCTTCTCTTGGTATTGTTTCACCACTTTAGTGTCACTCTTCTTGTGTTACTTTATTATAAATATGTCTTTGTTAGCACAATTTTATAAGCTATAGCCATTAAAAGGTTTCTGAAATCATTATAGAAGATTACATGGTATGCTTATACTATTTGTTCTTTAATACCTTCACTAAGATCCATGCTTGGCCTATAAGACAAAAAAAGCCAAGACAATCCAACCAGAATGGCCACCACCAGATTCACCATGATCCACGGCTGGAGAACCTGTTCCTCAATTCCTGCTGCCCTAAAGATACAGAAATACTCATTAGTAATGTCTTCATTTTTGTTCATATATCTAATTATGTCTATAAAATAGCAGTCCTCGTCTATAGGAATAACAAATAATGAAATAAAATATCATACCCTATAAGATAAAACCATACACATATCATAAATATATATCATGAGAACAAAGGGTCAAAGGATATTGAATTCTGACGAGATCTGCTTTGTACACTGATATAAATGGAAATTCTGTGTTGTCAACAAATTTGTCTACGTTTCCCTTCCGACTACTATGATGCCACTTACTCTTCATGAAGTATCTTTCCTTTCTCTCTTTACCTCATGCCTCTTAGCCACTCTCTCTGCCGCTCTGAGTGTTGTGATCTAGATCTCAGCCGTCCTGTTAGCCTGATGGCTGGCGGCTGATCTGAGGAGGGTGACGCTCCCTAGTCTGCCCTCTCTCTAATATTGCTTGGTTGTCTGACTCTATCCCAGCCACTCAATTCCATCACTGTTCTGGGGTATTGGGCTCCGGATTGGGGGTGAGGATGCTGAGCTCTTTCAGTTCATCATGCAATGACATTTTAAAACCGTAAGTTAAGAAATTTAAAACAGATTTGTAAAAAAAAAGACATTTCATTAAAAATGCAGGTGTTTATAATAACAGTTATCCATTAACAAATGGAGTAGGTATTTTCTTGCCACAATTTTGTAGACAAAAACAAGGCCTTTATTATTTATAGATAAAAACATGTAAAAAATGGAAGAATTAGAATGGTACCATTACTCCCATTGCTACTGTTATTACCATTAACAACTGCAAATGCCATTGTGAATCTTACCAGAGGCTACCATTAACAGAAGAAGGTGTGTAAAGGTGGATTCTGTCACTTGTCATTTGCTGACTCAGAGATAGTATAAGAGCAGTAAAGTACACTGAGAAAAAGATAAAATGAAATTACTAATAGTGTATTTTTAACAGTCATATTTATTTTGAATTTATAGATTACTTTAAGGTAAAAAATCATCTGTACTTTAGGGAATGATAATATAAAAGAAATTCATTTGGTTAATCAATAGGCTGGATTATTTTTCAAGAACACACGTACAGAAAGGTCTTTTGAGATGCTCACTATTTCATCATTAGAACTGACTAGAACCTAGTAGACGTTTTAAGAAATTAAATAACTGACTATAGGTCCTAAAGCTAGTTTTGCTAATATTTTCATAACTTAGAAAATGTATTCCAAATTATCCAAAAGATAAAAAAATATTATTTGTTACTGAAATGCCATGCCAGCTCAGTCTGTTTACTGGCAGGTAGAAAATACAAAAGCTAAATATTACTTAATATAGAACAAATTAAACTTTTAAAAGTTATTAAGATCAACCTCTATTGAAAAATAATTTTATCAAAATTATGCCAACCATGTTTTTTAAATTACAAATTCTACTGAACATCTGTAATAACGTTTACAGGCAGCAGTAATATAAAATCATTTTAAAAATAAAATTAAACTTTTCCTCATTCAAAATTACAATGTAATTCAAGTATAGCACCGTTATCAAATTAAACTATTTACTCACAGAAAGATGCGAAAGCTGTTGAATCCAGGGCAAGAAAATTTCGGATTGCTACTGATGTTTTGGCAAAGTCAATCCTAAAAAATACAAAAGTCTCTTGTCAGAATGCCACTGTAAACTTCTTACAAAACTGTATTCTCTTGACTATAGTTTTTCCTTCTCTATTCTAATGCTACCCCATTTATTGTCTCTTACTAAGCCTTAAGTAGCTACAGTAGGGTCTCTGCAGATGTGATTAAGTTAAGATAAGGCCATTAGAATGGACCAAAATCCAATATGACCAATGTCCTTATAAGAGAAGAGACAGAGACATAGAGACACACAGAAAGACTGCCATGTGACAACAGGAGGCAGACACTGGAGTGATGATTCTACAAGCCAAGGAATGCCAAGGATTGCCAGCAACCACTGGAAGCTAGGAGAAAGGCATGGAATAGAGCCCTCCAAAATGGAACCAACCTTGCTGATACCTTGATTTCAGACTTATAGCCTCCAGGACTGTGAGAGAATAAATTCCTATTGTTTTAACCCACACAGTTTGTTGTACTTTGTTACAGCAGCCCTAGGAAAGTGATAAAATATCCAGACTCTCTTCTATACCTGAATCAAATTATTTGGAAGGTTATATTTGGAACTTTTTGAATTGATTATATTTGGAAGAAATTTTAGACTTAGAGTTGATGCTGAAATGAGTTAAGACTTTTGGGTGTGTGTTTTTTCCACAGTATGCTCACTTTCCACTCTCCTCCACCTTAAAAAAACACCACCACACTGGCCTAAAAAAATGAAAATAATTCTATTTTGAAAACTGTCATAGTCAGTGACACATTTTGCTCAACATTTCCCCCCAAAAGGAAAGTTAGAAGGATGTATAGTCATAACAGTCTTACCTGTCAAAAGCTGAAACTGTACTTAGAGTCAAAAGCAAGTAGAGAAGACTCTGGAATGGATATGCTAATGTCTTGTATTGTTGCAGAAGGTTTGAGAGGTTAGAAAGTTGATCTCCTGCTAGAACATATATCACAATAATATTCCACACAGCACAGCCAGCCAAGAAGCCATTAGAAAAGAGACCAACCATCCTGAATGGAAAAGGGTTTAATTATTATACATGAATTACTAAAAAAGTAAAAAGCTAAAATATTTTAAAAATCTATCCACATATAAGAATAAAATTCAACATTTCATAAAAAATAAAAGCAAGCTTTTCCTTTTTTTTTTTAACTACATGCAAGGCAGATTATTTAAGTGTTGAACAATCAACACTTTTTTTTTAAAATATCTGCTTCCAGAAAAGTCCAACAAAAGCAGTCACCTGAAAGCCCGGTGCACTGAAAGTGCAACATCTCTGGTCGTCCAGGAAGGCTTCATGTCCATTGACATGTCTATATTCTCTGTGGTCTTTATCAACTCTGAACGATCAGTGGCCTGGAATCGCCCTAAGAACATATCACATAATTATTAACTAATAAGAGAGAACCCTGACAGTCTTTTTTATTTTATTATTCCATACTTAGGAACCCTTAGAAGGAGTATGTCCATGTGCTTTCTTCTCAAACCAAAACAGATGTTGAAGCAAGTTATGGAAATTGATTATATTTAATGAAATGAAATAATGAATTTCCAACTAAGAAAAAAGTCTAAAGACCTTTTAGATGACAAAGTCTAATATAGTCTAATTTAGAGATTTTAGAAGTACTAAAGTTTAAATGTCAACACTATAAAGTTAAGTCAATATTTGAAAACACTTTACATTTCTTAGGAAAAGATACCAATGTATGTAGCAAGGGACATGCTCTAGATGACAAAAAAGAAATGGATCGTTTCATAAACTTCTTCTAAGAAGACTCCTGTGAAAGTCTTAATTCAAGTGTCAGCACTGCAACACTGTGTGAACAGAGTTTTATCCCCTTACTGTTGACAAGGAGGCCCCTTCTCATGTCTACCAATCCACAAACAGACCTCGGGCAGCAGGAAAGTTTCCATTTCTTTCTTTCTTTTTTAGTATATCTTTTATTGATTTCAGAGAGAGGAAGGGGGAGGGAGAGAGAGAGAAAGAGAAATAGCAATGATGAGAGAGTCGTCATTGATTGGCTGCCTCCTGCACGCACCATACAGGGGATCGAGCCCACAACCTGAGCAGCATGTGCCCTGACTGGCAATCGAATCGTGATCTCCTGGATCCCAGGTCGATGTTCAACTGCTGAGCCACGCCTGGCCAAGCAGAAAAGTTCCATTTCAATCTTGCTTCCAAACCTGGCTGCCAGGTACTTTGGAGAACAAAAGACAGAGGTGCATCACCTAATATTTCCCCAAAAAAGACAACTTTTGGAAAGACAACTAGCATTTTTTAAGGTCAGTTACTCTATTAGGGAAGTCTCTGTGCTAAGGGAAGCCAGAATAAAAATGATTGAGTGATACTGCTTGAAAATAGCTTGAAGTAAATTAAATTGCCGCAGGTATACCCATTAAAGCAGTTGACTAGCAGTCATGAAACTGAGTCCAAGTTCTGCACTAACCAGCTATGAGACCCTGGATAGGTCAGCCTCTCTAGATCACAGGTTTCTCACTGGTGAAGGTCCCTTAGATGGGATATTACAGAACCACGTTTTAAAACAACTTCTGTAAAATCTAAATTGTAAATTTTAAAAGCTAATCTTTATGCTTCAAATGAGTTCTTTAGGTAGCATATTCACAGCATATCCATGGGAGGAACATATGGTTATGATCATGCTTTTGGTAAGTTTTTCTTAAAACACTGCAAATGCAGTCTTATAACCAACCAGTGGACACTACACAACATCAGAACTGTTTTCCCAAAGAACATACAGTTACAATGTTGTGTTTCTTATTTAATATGGTAATACCATCATGTATGTTCTTCATTTATTTTTAATTATAGAATTTATATCATTACCTGCCCCACCACCAGCACCACCACCAATTGCAGAAAACTGGTAAAATACAACAAAGCATAAAGAAATGGGTGAAGGGTAAGGGGAGATTTTAAAAATTACCCCAAATCCCATTACCCAGAAACAATCAGCATTAATATTTTGGTGTATTAACTTCTAGTCTTTTGTACTGTGTATTCTGTCATTGAGATCAAACTATATGTGTGTGTATGTTTATTTTTCATTAGAATCTTTCCAAGAAATATAAAACTCTTCCTAAACATTATTTTTAATGATGCAGATTTTATTGTATAGATAAAGCATGCCTTACAGAAATCATTCCCCTGCTCTTTTATATTTAGGTTATTTCCAGTTTTTTGTTCTCATGAAACAGTGTGATGATTAGCTTTGTGTATAAATTTTTGTCCATGTTTTTGCTTATTTCCTTACTTTAGATTTACAGAAGTATAGTTCCTAGATCAAAGGATATCCTTATGAACTTCTTAAAGATCTCATGTTCCATAACAAGGAACTACTTACGGCTTTTTTCCACAAACACTTTGCCTACAGGCTGGCTAACGCCAGTGGGTGCAGTGAACACAGACTGTTGTTCTGGACTCCTTTGCTCATCAGTAATTATGTCTTCATCTTCTACTCCTAGCTCATTGGCATACTGCAATTCTGCTGGCCGGGCTTTCCTATAATCGGAGAATGTAAGAAAAATGGATGATTAGTAAATTTTTACAGACCCACACAAGGAGGTGCCTGTGAGTAGAATGAAAAGAGCCCTGGACTTTGAGTGGAGAAATTTGGATTTTACTCAAATAGATCAGTTATTAACTGTTAGGTGCAGAAGTCGCCTATATTTCTGTGGGCCTCAGTTTTCTCCTCTGGACAATGTAGTGACTAAACTAGATTTTTAAGGTTCTTTCCAGACTTAAAATTTCATCATTTTATACAGACACTGATTACCATTTATAGGGTCACGTCTAAATACAAATAATAGTGTTATATAACTTCCAGTGTATTACTTTAAAGTATGCCATTCTATTTTATCTGACAATTTCCTATGCCAAAATACACATCATTCTTAATTATCGCTGAAATAATCATAATTTGAATTCTGTTAACATGAGACAATAATAGCCTATTTTATTAATATTACCTTTAATTTTTAATATCTTGAATATGTAGTTTTTTGCTACTTATATAAAATCTTCTATTTGTGTGTCTCTTTTTTAGAGACAGCTCCTAAAAATTTTTATTCAAGTACTATATTTTACTTTTCGCAGTCATCTACACTTTTCAAATTTATCACTAGGTTGGTTTAACTGATATTTTTGTAATACTACTTATCCCAGAAATATACAACTACAAGTACTTATAAGATTTAATCAGAAGCTCTGAATTAAGCATCAGAGTATTCCTGAAGGATATTTAGAAGAACAAATAAATTCTTACTTTGTCTTCCTTCGAGGTTTTTGAATAACAGGCTCCTCAGCTGGCTCCACATTGATACCATTTTCATTTCGAAATAAAGATGGACTAGGTGTCTTCTGGGTGAAGGCAGTCTCCAATTCTGAAAAAAAAAAAATATATATATATATAGATTAAATTTTCGAATTATTATAATGTAAAAAGAAAAGTAAGGTACAGGACTTTTGTAATATAAGAGAACCTTAAAATTTTTAATTGGGCAAACTTTTTTTAGCATTTAATTTTAAAAATTTTACACTCTAAACATGTAATGAAATATTTGAAATTGCAATGCCAAAAATATGGGGGAAAAATTATGTAAATCAACAGAGACACACACGGGAAAATGTGAAGATAGGCACATAATGACGTTATGCTGTCATAAGCCAAGGACTGCTAAGAACTACCAGGAGCTAGAAGAGGCAAAGATGGATTCTTGCCTAGAACCTTCAGAGGGAGCATGGCCCTGTGCACACCCTGCTTTTGAACTTCTATCCTCCAGAACTGTCAGAGACTAAATTTCTGTTGTTACAAGTCAATCAGTTTGTGGCAATCTGTTAAGGCAGCCCTAAAAATTAATATAACATAGTTTACAAAATGGGATCCTCTGATACATACTATTTTATAACCTTTGGTTTTGACTCAACAATATATTACTGATGGTTTTCCATGTCACAATATCACAACTGTCATTGTGATATTTAACAATTCAGTTAATGAGCACTTGGTTTCTATTAAATGGATAAAATGTTTTATTTAGCCAATATCACATTGTTAAATGTTTGGTATTACCAGTTTCTACTCTTCTAAATAATATTGCCATTAACATCCTTTAATTACTGTAGCTGTAGCTGTTGTTACTTCTACTCCTATAAGTTTGAACAGGCCTTATTATATTATTGTTAACAGAGAACCTATCCTTTCCCCACTAATCTCAAATGTCCATTTTATCATATACTAAATTCTTATACACGTCAAAATCTAAACTTTCTATTTTAGTCCTGAATTTGTACCACTTCCCTCAAAATCTACACACACATGATCAAAAGAGACCCTCTAAAGTGTTCTTGACTTAACCCACTAGAGTTATCACAGTGATAAAAATTTTAAGAAAAAAAAAAAAGTGATATGGGTGGGGAAAAAATGGGAACAGACAGGTTTTTATTCATACACCCAAAATCACAACTGCTATCACAACGTGACCTTGGCTGTTTTTACACACCAAGAGGTACCCTTGTCTTCTTCTGTCTTCTTTGAACAGGAGCTTGTGGATGCTCTATGGGTTCGTTGGTTGGTGGCTCGCTGCTCTCAGATGGCTTATGAATAGCAGTCTGAACAAGACCTTCCAAAGAAGCACCTGCTACAGAAATACAGAGTGAAAAAAATAGGATGACTTGAGCAGAGACCACTGAGTCTTAAAAAAATGAGAAAAGAGGGAACTGGAATTTTTCCTATATAACCACTCCTTCTACTACAGAACCAATCTTCGTTTTCTTCCTCCTCACCTATAACTTTGGATTTTAAATTGAGAAAAGAAATAAATAAAGGAACAGGAAGAATGAAAAAGAAAAAAGGGAGGTCAGGAAAAAGAACAAAAGAAGGAGAGGAGAATTTGCTTCAGAATTTTCAACGAGGTAAAAACATAGTGGAAACTGTTGCCACAGAGAACTCCCTTATTTGTCTTATGCCTTAAGAATTATTAGCTTCTGTATAGTTTAGTACCTTCTCTAGGAAATTAACACATGATAACGTCATCATGGATAATTGGAGTTAACAGATAATTTATAAATCTTTTCATTTGGTCATTCATTTTAATTTCTCCCCTCATCAAGTCTTTGAACAGATTTTGACACATTTCTGCATATTTGAATTTTACTTGAATGTAGATTCCCTTGCCCATCTTCTTCACAAAAGAAGGAATATAAATATTTTAATAAACAAATAAAAATATGCTTAACCTCATTAGTATTCAGAAAAATGAAAACTAAAATAAGCACTTTCTGCCCACTAGATTGACAAAAAAAAAACCAAGAAATTAAAAGACTGATATTATCCAATGTGGTCAGGGACTTAGTGAATGTGACACTCAAACTCTGTTGGTGGCGATAAAATAACTAAATCTTCCTTGAAGGCAATTTAGCAGAATCGTATCATATTACTAATGCACAGGTCCTCTGCGTAGCAATTTCACTGCTAGCAATCCATCCTCTGGAAACAGCTCTCCTTCCCTGCCACCCACTATTTCAGAACTGCAAAACTGCAGAAGTGAAAAATCTGAAATAACCTAAATGAGTTTTAATAAAAGCCTAGCAACATGTCCCCCTTTCTGTCTAGAGCACTGCATTTTTGTCTTCTCTGTTTTACAAGAAAGAAGCGCTGAGAGCTGGGACAGAAACGTTCCTCTGCTCTAAACTGTCCTTACTGTATTCTCCACCCGTGGCCTTCCTAAGTCCAGATGTACGTCTATATTCAACTCTGAGTGTATTTCTAGAGCCTTCAGTGTCTTTATGAATCCAAGTCTCTTTGCATCTCTTTTCTCTTTGTTTCGTCTCTACTTGTCTCTTTCTATGTATGCATCCATCTCCATTTCTTCCTTTCTCTCTAACCAGTCCTCCATTTGCTAGGGAATCAATGATAAGCCAAAGTAAGTTTCTGACCAGGTGTAAGGTACGATCAGCTATGGGCTTTAAGAAGCTCATCCAGCAGTGGTAGACAGGACTAGAGCGAAGGAAAGCTAGAAGCACAATGTTGGAGGCTAATCCAATAGCTCAGGTGAGAAGTGGAGAGGAGCTAAACTACCTACAGTTATGACAGCGGAAATGAAAGGGAAAAGAGACATAAAAGATGCCATAGAAAAAGCAAGCAATGGGACCAGTTAGAGCGGACACTGAGGTTTCCAGCCTGAGTGACTGGGAGAGTGGTGGGTTCCATTAACAGAAATTTGTGAGAAATAAAAATGGATTTATTTCTGAAGGTGAAAAATTCCGGATGTGGGAGTCTGAGTTACTCACCGAACGCCCAGGATTATTACTGGATAACTAAAACAAAAAGGAGCTCATAGAACTTGCTCATTATTGGAGCTTTAATACCTGGATGGCACGGCCCTGCCTTCAGACTTGTGCTCTGATATAGAGATTCTCGAACTGAAATGAGAGATCCAAGAACCTTGTGTCTCTATTATCCGGTATCCTGTTCAAGGGTCTGGAATCAATCATAGCTTAAGACAGCTACAGTGTCTAGGGATAAAAGAACCCTAAGAGTCCAAGAATGCAGCGGAAGTAAGAGTACTGGCGGCACAACCTTTTATTTCATGAATCCTTCTGGAGACCCCTCAGATTGCCCACTGCCGCGTCCCTCACTGCCACCAGGAATCCCACTGCTCCAGTGACCTCGATTCTACCCTCAGTACAACAGTGACTTGGCTCGGCAGGGGCCTTGTCTCTCCTTGATCTGTGATGTTTATCATGCCTGAGGTCCTGGAAAAACTTATGGTTCCACACAACAAAGAACAACTTCTCACCTAGCATGGCTTTTGTTCTCGGCTTCTTTTTCTTAGGACGACTAAGTGGAATATCATCTATAAAACAAAAAGAACAGAAAAGGCTGCCTAAAATTCTATGCAGGGAATAGTCAAAGGGGACTTTTAATAGGGAAGACCTCTCCCTCTCTTCTCTGTGGCCAGCCAACATCTACACATTAGGGGAAGAAGCTAAGAAATTGACAAAGTCAAAGAGAGCCCATAGTGCGGTACCAAGGGCTCACTGCTGGTCAGTAATGTTAGAAACTGACACAGAAAGTGCGCTCACCAAATATTCATCTGATCCCCAACATTTTCCAGCCCCTAGCACTTAGGTGTGGCCTATGATTGGTTCTGACCAACAGGCTCTGAGAGAAGTATCTCTCTCACAGAGCCAGTGAGAAACCCTCTAGCTTTCTCTTCCCTTGCTGTGGCAACTGAGGAAACCTCGTATTAAGATGGAAAAACCAGCCCGGCTGGTGTGGCTCAGAGGCTGAGCGTCAACCAGTGAACTAGGAGATCGTGGTTCAATTCCCGGTCAGGGCACGTGCCCGGGTTGTCAGCCTGATCCCCAGCAGGGGGTGTGCAGGAGGCAGCCGATCAATGACTGTGTCATTGATGTTTCTTTCTCTCTCTCTCGCTCTCCTTTCCTCTCTCTGAAATCAATAAAAACATATTTTTTAAAAAAAATGGCAAAACCACAGGATGGAAGTAGACTTATCACTACATTATTAGTGAACAGGTAGTGAAAGGCAAATGTCCTGATTTATTGCCACAGTGGACTTTGCATTAACCAGAAATAACCCTACATGATATTAAGTCACTGAGATTTGGGGGTTAGTGTAGCATGACCCCGTCTATCCTGACTAATTGAGACAAAGGAAGATACAGTCCCTAATACAGAGCTATAAACTAGCCGGAGTTATGATCTGGGTGACTCCATTCAGGAATGAGTGCTTTTATATTTGCAAGGTCAAACATCAACCATATAACTAGTGTTATTTATCAACCATCATTTAAAAATGGCAGCCATAGATTATTACGATAAAGAGATATTGTAGTATTATAAATTATATTGTAGTATTATAGATATTGTAGTATTGTAGATATTGTAGTATTATAAATTATACCATTCAGATTCAATTTTAAGAGAAACAATAACAAATTAAACTTTTGAACATCCAATAATATTCAGAAAGTTTTACATTAACAGTGAACTAACTCACCTTGAATAACACTTTACATGACACCGACCAAATTTAATCAGGACAAAGACAAAAAAAGAAACTCTATTAATTAGAAATCTATTATATTGTCAGACTGAAAAATGACTTAAATCATTACAGCTTTAAAATAAAATTAGCTTTCACATAAAGTCTGCTAGTTTACAAACTAGCTTATTTACAAATAATAAGCTATTTAATAAAACTGCTAATAAAATAACCACAATATTTTCTGAATCTACATATACATATTCCTTACTATCTATTAATAAAGTGGATTAAACAGATTAAGAACTCTTATTTTGTCACTGATTATAATAAGCTTAAACTCTGAGGAAACTATTCTAGGAAACAAAAGGAGGTCAGAATTCTGATAAACAAGACACTGAAAATTTCAGAATGGATCCATTATCCTACCACGTTGACATTCAGGCTTTGAAACATAACATTTAATTATAACTGTTACCCTAACGATTCAGGGATTTTTCACCTTTAAACCGTTAAGAAGCGTTTTCCTAAAAACTTCAAGAAATCTTTTGAATTACTGTATAGTTTTTGCAATGGTAGTCAATTTTTCACTTTACTCATTTTGCATTTTTAAAACTCAATAAAATTACTGTAAACTACTTTTACCTTGGCACAGGTGGAAGGGCTCGTGGAGGACGCTATGGGAAAAAGAAAGTTACTTGTAAGTAAAATCCTGCAGCATCCTTACTTCATATATTTCAAACGGTTTGATTGCTGTTCATCAGTGAAAGCCAGGAGGTACTGACGAGAACCAAACGGGCAGTATTTAAATTCTGTCTACCTACTCTAAATTTCACATAAGACCCCTTCCTTTTTATCTACAAGCAAGGCCCTGTTCTAAGCACTAGGAATACATTAATGAACAAAACAGACAGCTCCTGCTTTCATGGAACTTTACACTCTAGCGGTTAAGTGTTAGCAGATAACGTTGACATATATACAGTAGTAAATGAGGTGGGATGGGGGCTGCTAGTTTAGCCAGGGAAAGTCTCTCTGACACCTGAGCTGAGACCTGAGTGAGCAAGGAGCCTACGTTTTTGACCAAGGGAAGCAGATACAAAAGCCTCTGGGGAAGCCCGGGCGTGGAGCGGTCCCGGTACAAGGCCAGGAGGGCTGCAGCCGCACCGAGGAGAGGCGGGCAGGCGCCGGTTAACCGGGCTCCTGAAGGTGGAGGGGAGGAACCTAGATTTTGTTTTAACTCAGTAGGAAGCCACTGGAGGTTTTAAGCCACACAGTCACATGCTTTTTGAAAAGATCCCTCTAAATACAGGATGAACAATGCATTTTAGGACAGAAAGAATAGGGGAGGGGGAAACCCTTATAAATGCTGCTTTACATGAATGAGAAGAGCTGTATCTGTAGTTCAGAGTGATTATCCTTAAGAAGCACACTGGAATCTTTCCACGTAAAATGCTAACAGGAATGCCTACAAGTCAGGTCACCGGTCCGAGTCCCTCACGCTGCTGGCAGAGAACCGACTCACGGGTGACCGCGCAGGCTCCTGCAGCTGGCGCGGCAGCGGGCCCACCTCCACCCGCTCAGCTGACCGGCGTATTAATGCAAGCGGCACGCGACCAAGGCAAGGCGGCCGCGTCCACACTATCCAGGGCCCGGAATTACAACCGGAATGACCACGGTCGCACGAAGGCGCTTTTGTTCTAAAGATGCCAGGAGCGGCGTTCCAGCCACGGCTCAGTGCGCACAGCTCCGCATTTCAAAAGTCCCGCAAAAATGACGTGCCACCCACGCATAAACCCAACCTTTCCGCCTCTAAAGCAGGGCGGGTCAGCAGGATTCAGAAGCCAAGCAAATGAAAAGCATCTCAGGGTGGCTCACCGCCTGCGTCCGTCCCATTCCTC